GAGGAGGAGGAGGAGGACAGCGCTGCAGAAGGTGGTGTAGAGAACTCTCTCTCTCTCTCTCTCTCTCTCTCTCTCTCTCCAAGAACCCAATGAAAGACGAAGAAGAGGAGGAGGAGGAGGAGGAGAAGGAGGACACAGCGCTGTAGAAGGGGGTGTGAAGAACTCTCTCTCTCTCTCTCTCTCTCTCTCTCTCTCTCTCTCTCTCTCCAAGAACCCAACGAAAGATGAAGAAGAGGAGGAGGAGGAGGAGGAGGAGGAGGACACAGCGCTGTAGAAGGGGGTGTGGAGAACTCTCTCTCTCTCTCTCTCTCTCTCTCTCTCTCCCCCCCCCCCAAAACCCAGCGAAAGATGACAACGATGAAGAAGAATAATGGCAGGAGGAAAAGAAGAAACAAGAAGACCAAGAACAAGAAACAAGAAGAAGAACCAAGGAGAACAGGAAGAACAAGAAAAAGAAAGAAGAAGAAGAAGCCAAAAAAGAAGACGAAGAAGAAGAAGACGAAGAAGAAGAAGACGAAGAAAAGAAGAAGATGAAGAAAAGAAGAAGACGAAGAACAAAAGAAGAAGAACCAAAAAGAAAAAAAAAAACCTAAACTTACCGGTATGGGTATGGCGGTGATGGGGGGTGCGCGGCGTGGCTATGTCAGTGGCGAAGCCAAGGGCGGGCTCACGCGGGGGCAATGGCGGGCTGGCGGGGCTGAAGCTTGAAGTCGACGTCCGCTTGAATGAGCTCGACGTCGACCTCCTCGGCACGTAGCCCATGCAGGCGAGGTCGAGGCTGGCGTGAGCACACAGGCTCGTTTCGAAAGGCCCACAGGCTGCGTTTCGAATTCCTAACGCAGCCGATTTTGACCGCCGATCTGCAGATCAGCGGCCAAAATCGGCCGCGTTTTCGAATTTGAAAATTGGGGCCTGTAGGACCCCGCATTTCGACAAAAGCGCGCGGTGGATCTCCACCGCTGATCTCTGAAGATCAGCGGTGTAGATCCACTGCTCGCTTTTGTCGAAATGCGGGGTCCTACAGGCCCCGATTTTTTTTTTGGGCGGTGACGGCGGCCTCCTTGAGGCCGGGTGGGCACGGGAACACCTAAAAATCCCCGGTACCCCCCTCCCAGCGCAATGCGCTGGRTCGAACCGGGGGCCTGCCGGTCCAGTGCACCGGCTGGTCCTACCGGGCGGCTCCCGGTCCAAGGAGGACCCCCCGGTCCATCCGGTGGACCAACACTGATATATATATATATATATTATAACTTTGATTACAACATCATAATAATGATAGTAATAATAATAATAATAATAATAATAATAATAATAATAATAATAATAATAATAAATGAACGATAGCGAACTTTCAGAAACCCAGCAGCATCATACACATGAGACCAAATAGTGACCTCGAACCAAAAGCAGAATCGCATCACAGTTCCACCACATAAGGGCATACCAAAAGCTCATAATTGACAATGTTGGAATAGTCTCATCATCATCTTCAACGAAGAACCAATGTTGATATCCTATTTGGCGCTCGGCGCCCAGACTACAAACGATCGATCCTATCTAGCCTATCTACAATGCCGTTGATGACGTCAACAACTCCCCGAAGTACGAGCAGATCTCAGCCCATGTCGTTCGCCTCAAGCACCAGGTATGTCTCCCGTATCACTCACACCCCGATCCCCAACTCACAGATGCCACATGCACCAAGGACCATCACTCGCCCCCTCCTTTCGTAATCCTTTCTCTCCCCCTTCCGCCTCTCCTTCTCCTCCTCTTCTTCAAGTTCTTTTTCTTCTTCTTCTTGCGCACCCCCTTCTTAGGAGATCGCCTTCCTCCCTCTGCGCACCTCCTCCTCTCGCGTCTCTACTTTCTCTATGAGTGCTCTCTTTTCGAACTCGATCATCTTCCCAATTACACGTTTCCCATTGCTCGCACGCCCGCTTTCGCCTCCCATTCATGCGTTCGTAGTCTGTATTCCCCTTTCGTTACTGACTTGCTTGCTTCTTCCACCGCGCGCTGGCCATTCAAGCTTTCCCACTCGCTGTGATGGTGCCCGTTAGTTCACACTTGCTCTCCCAGCGTATACTCACTACCAAGCCTTTGACCAACACGTATGCTACATGCCTACTGTTGTGCGCTCCCTCACGATGATCCTTCCCGTACTCATCTCCCTCACGATGGTGCTTCACGTAGTCCCCTCTCTCTTCTTTCTCTCACACTCACATACACGCATGCACCCACGCACACGTACGCACACGCGACCGGTCAATCAAGTGCATCAGTGTATACCTCCATGTTCTTGCGGTAGATCCTTCAAATTTTAACTCGCCTTATTTTACTCACCTCATCGATGGAAGTACCATGAGATCGGCTGCGAAATAGGACACACACTCAACGCACACACACAAAAATAAATAAATCAAGTGTGACATGTATATTCCTCGTTCGAACGGTTGATTCTTTCGATTTTGCTTATCCTATCGATGGAAGTAGATTCTGGTAGCTGCGGAATCGACACTCGTTCACACACACACCAATACACTAAGACACACGTGTAGTGATGTATATTTCCTTATTCTAACGACAAATTCATCCGATTTTGATCTTTTGTTTGATATAAGTATACTAGCACACCTTTCTTCCTTTTAGCGGTAGATTCATACGATTTGGTTCGTTGAGTAAGTCACGTGATAGGAGACTTGCCTATTCTCTCTCCCTTTATCCTTGTCGTCGTCGTAATTGTAGTCGTCGTCATCGCCGTCACCATCGTTGTCATCACCGTCATCGTTGTCGGGGTTATCTCCTTTTCACAACGCAACGTGATCCGTCACAATGTGCCGCATACCTTGATCGCAGCACGGGGGCACAACCGATACAAATGCGCATTCCAAAAAAGTCGGGCGATGGCGGACCAGAAGACAACATCACATTGTGGCCGCAATCGCTCTCCCCGAATCCTACGAGATGAGGTGACGAAGCTGAGAGATGGTGACGGGGCACTACCGCTTCCCTACTCGTATTTCTGGCACCTCGCCATCTTCGACCGCCTGACTAGGTAAGTACTTTTCCTCCCCTCCTTCTCTCTCTTTCTCTTCTTCTTCTTCTTCTTCTTTTGCTTTTTTTTTTTTTTTTTTTTTTTTTT